ACTACAAAGAGATGAGAAATCTCTTTGGATCCCTGCAAATATTATGGGGTCTATTCACAAAGCTGCCGAGGGCAGCCGAGTGAATGACCGATCTGAAGTGAAGTGAGCCGAACACTGTTCGGCTATTCACTTCAGGCTGGCACGGCTAATTTCAGCCGTACATCGGCTTGCTTCGTGTGGCTTCGGGTCGGCCAAACATGCTCAGTGCAGAAGGAGAAGTGCAGAAGTGCAGAAGGAGTTCGACTCAGCCGATCCAACATCTGGATCGGCTGAGCCGAACCCCCGGCAGGCTACTCACTTCGGCCAATGGCCGGCCGCTCGGCCAGCTTCGGCTTTCAGCACGGCTCAGCCGAGCTGATGCATATGCGTTCGGCTCGGCCGAGCCGCTCGGCCATGATCGGGAGCTGTACGGGCTATTGTGAATAGCCCGTACAGCACCCCTTCGGTTCTACTGAACCGAAGGAGTCCTGGGGCCGGAGCTAGCCAAAGAATCGGCCGAAGCTACGGCCAGATCCTTCGGCAGCTTCGTGAATAGACCCCATAGTGATTCACAGTGTCTTCTCTGAGGAGCACTAACTGGTATAAAAATGACCGAAGTGTAAACCCGACTTACCAAAAGTTAATAACTGTCTCAGCTTGCTTGCAGGCAGTGTAAACTATATTACCATTTTGGTGTATCGTATTGATTCCAGCCACTCGTAAGCTATATTTATAGTCAGAAATTTCAGTGTTTAAGTCTGTAGTCTGTCTATAAAAAGAACTCCTCTGCTGGCAAAATATTACTGAATGAAAGGCATTATTGTAGCAGAAAGTCAGGTAGAGTTATTTTGGCATATTCTGTAATATGGCTTTGATTTATAACAGCTGTGCTGCAGCTATTAGATGAGAAATTGTTCAGATTTACTAAAACAAGTAGTCATTTCTCTAAATAGTATTAGTACAAATCGTGTGGGCCAAAATTCCCAGGCTATGTAATTACAAACATGAACAATTTTCTATAATTAAGATAATTTGCATTTAGTGTTAAAGGAATTAAACCAGGGCTGGTGAAATACTGGCCAAGAACGAAGTCAGGAAGAGGGCAAAGAGCAAATATTTTGATCAAGAAGTACAGACGTAAAATTAATTTATAAACCTTTCTATACATTTCTGTTGTGAACATTACACATATATATATTTCCATGCACATGGTGCAATAACTTTATTGCATTCATTACCTTGGTGTGAATTTCCTTTTAATTTTACAAATATCTAAAGTTAACCAGGAACAGAAAGCTGTGTCCCCCAAGAGTGATGGGTGTAGAGACATCTGCCATCCTTAAGGGCTTGTTCACACCAAATGCAGACCAGATCTGCATGAGTTTCTGCACACGCAGTGCATTGTGTTTTGCCACGTTTTTTGATGCATTTTGAAGCGTTAAGGGCCGTTTTAAGTTTAAAATGGGCTTTCAGTGCGTTCCAGTGCGTTTGCATGCGTTTTTGATGAGTTTGCATGCGTTCCAGAGCAGGAAAAATAGGGCTTGTTGCAGATTTTTAACTGCTCTGGAACTGAACGCTGCAGTGTGAACTAGAGCCACAAATAGCATGAACTAGCCATTAATAACCTGCACACTGCCATGTCTTCTTAACATTCCAAAAGAAGGGTAAAGCACATGCTAACTAAACCCTTCACTCCCTTTCCTTAACACAAAAGGGAACATTAGTGTCAGGTCATAGATGCTAATTACCTAATTACTTTGGGGACATTATTATTTTGGCCTTGTCTTTGGGATTATTGGCCTGCTGAACCAAACATGAAACTCAAGCTTGTTTTTCTTTCTTTGGCAGACTGAAACAGGCTCTTACCACGTTTCCTGTATTTTGCACCACAATCCAATGGACAATTCCTGCTGATGAAAAATAGCCAAAAGCATGAAGCCGATGAGTGACATCACCATATGTCACTCTAGGTGTGGTAGTTTCTGAGATAATGTTAAAACCATACCTATAGCTTTCCACTTTGGCCAGAAAACTCTGCCTTGGTCTCATCCGACCAAAGAACCCATTACCCATATTGCAGATGTGTCACTCCCATGTTTTTTAACAAAATGTAGATGAGTTTTCATATAGTTATTTTTTGAGTGCCGACATAAATTGTGCCGTTCTCCTACATAGGTAAGCTCTGAATTTGGTTGGTAGGTGCACTTTAAAAACAGAATAAATATTTTTGTTTAACATTGCAGGAAATCAGGTTATTGAAAGTGGCTGTGGTTTATGGACAGCAATCTAGTATAGCCCCCTATTATTCTAACATCACAAAATTCCCCAAAGGACCCATCAATATACAAGGTACAAGTTCAAGAGTGTCTGGAGTGGTCACTTTGTATTACAACAGTGCCTCATGAAGCTTTATAAAATTAGCTTTTTTTGAGCATTCATAGTCTTGTGCCTACCTTCTGAAGAGTTGCAGCTGCAGAGAGGTTGCATGAGGATATCTTAATACATGGATGGCATAATGCATCCGTATTACACATATTTATGAAAGGACATGCCTTTCCAGCTATAAAAATGAAGCAGACCGTGAAAGGAATAAGTAAATATGTGCAAGCAGCTCTACAATTGCTGCTAAACACTCTATAGGGCTATGTAATGACATGTATTGATACATTTACAAAGAGAAGACACGTCCAGCAACACTTTTTGTACACGATAGCCCTGAAATCTACAAGACTAAGCATGCTCATTACTAATCACTCAACAGTTTTGTAGACATGGTTGTACAGCTCAGTCAGTGTAACAAAAAATTATAACAAGTAGTATTTACAGATTATTTTTACAATATATCTGATGACTTGCCTTGGCCTCTGCAGGTAAGAAGCCAAAAAATTACAGAACCTAGAATTACTTTTGCATAGTAAAAAATATTTTGTTCTCTCAGCCATACGCATAATATTCTAGAGCTTCCTAACAGAACAAATGCACTTTAAATTGACTTTACATTATTGATTTTAATCACACGAATATGTATATACACACACATAATGCAATTCAGAAGCTAGCATGATTTTTTTGAAAGAGCCAACCCCATTGACACCAACTAGAGAAAACTTTGAAAGTGAGGCTCCATTCATACATAGGGGTCTATTCACAAAAGGGTGAAGAGTTTGGGGAAGGCGGGAGAAGTGAACAATCTAGGCTAAAATAGCTGATTTGGAAAAATTCTCCAATTTAGCTCACTTTCCAGTTCAGCTATGTTGTCCTAGATTGTTCACTTCTCCTGCCTTCTCCAAACTCTTCACTCTTTAGTGAATAGTGTTTGCGTGCAGCATGAAAATGCACAAATTTTAACATACTCACGGATTCCGCGCGTTTGCGGCTCTCTGCCCAGAATATCATGTTTGGATTTTTTTGCGCAAAGTTCAAGAATGTCATCAGCACACCAAGGGTGCACACAGTAACAGCCGTGACAGCGGCACGCGCCCTTTTCAACCACATGCCGGCATCTGTAAGTAATTTTGAATCTTATGGCGGGAATGTTATTCCAGGATGTTTTCAGGTGTAGAAGTTTCCGTCCTTTTGAATATACCTATAATATTTGAATATACCTATAAAAAGGGTATTGTTGGTGTACTTGGTGTCATTCTGAGCCTGATGAAGGGGACCCTGCACGGCCCCTAAAGCGCTTGCATTTGCATGGAAATATCTTGTCATTAAATGGACTGATTTCACTTTAAACTTGGTGTGCTGGTAACATTCTTGAACACTGTGTATGTTTTACGGTGCCATCCATAGTCATTGCAAGCACCCACCTGGACTCTACAGGTTACACTTTAAATTGGTAAGGAGTGCAGCGAGACGCATTTGTACTTTGCTTGGACTTTTTTGTGCGATGCGTTTTCGAACCAAGCGGATGTCACGCAAGATACATTGGAATGTTTATTTTTTATGTTTAGCATGTTTCAGCTGATGTGTGAATGGAGCTTTAGGCACCAGCTGTAAGTTTTAAAAAGCATCGGCGACCTGGCTCCTGGGATTTATTCAGCTCATAATGTATAGTATATACACCAACCCATTGCCTATACCCTATACTGAATGCTCAACTTTTCTGTGCAGAACTGCAGAATCATAACAATACTAATCGGTGTAGTGAAAGTCACAATAGCGCAGCTTCCTATTTACCCTTTAGAGCTCGGTTTATGTTGCCGAGTTCCAGCTCAGATGTGGCCAGTATGTAAGAGGTATATAATGTTAAAAAGTGCATTTATGTTCAAATCTCTTAATGTAAATGTCAGTCCCATTATTGTACATATCACAGCTAGTGACAATCTTACTGTCTGTGCCTGTAGATAAATGACAATCATTTACTATGCATGTTACTATGCACACTTTGAATGTCAAAGAAAGCATATGCCACACTGAACATGGGTGTGCGCTTATGATCAATATGAATGAACATTTAGAATGGGTATCATTTTTCTTGTTGTGGAGAAAATATGATGCAACAAGAAAACCCTTTGGAATGCGTAAAATTAAATTTTAATTTCTAATTTGCATATAGGGGTGATAAGTAGTGGGCTTCATTTACTTAAGGAGCAGAGATTGTTCACTTTGCAAGGTGGATATTGACTTGTCTTAGTAAAAGAGGTGAAGCTGCTTTCACATCAATTATCCAGCCAAACCTTATTCACTAAGCTAAGTGAACACTGTTTACAACCCAATAACTACACCAGCAAATTATGTGAATCCATACAAATATGCTACAATTACTGTACATGCTTATTCAGTAGGACAATACAAAGTGAAGTACCCCATGCCAATCAGATTTAAATTTCCTAAAGTCATCTGACTGAAATAGGAATCCAGGATAGGTTAAATATGTTACAATATTTTGCCTATATGTATAAGTGCATTAGTATTGCCTTATTGGTGTATTAATTGGCAAATATTATAGCCTTTCCCTTATCCAAAGTGTGTGCGGTTTGCCATCATTAGGAACTATGTAGATAGGATTAGGTTCTTACCTGATTATAATATGTTTTAAATACAATAACACCCCCAGCACAGGACTGGACATAACTTGGGTAGTGCTGGCCATTTTCTCGCAACCAGACTTGTGTTCCCTGCAGAAAAAAGACAGAATTTAATTAGCTTATGAAATTATACAAAACTGAATAAACAAATATTTAGTTACAATATGCCAAGACACTAAACAAACAAAAACGGATGTTCTTTTCATCAGATTACAAGATAAGGAACATTTTCATAAATAATTGTCTGGTTCCAACGCATTTTTCCCATGAGGGTCAGTAACCCTAAAAGCAAATACTATGCAAAAAATGTTGTGGATTTGCCATTTTTAAATGCCAAATTAAAATGCAAATCCATGGTACAAAAGAGACAGTATTAAAGACGATAAGGTAAATTATAGCCACAAAGAGGTGGTTTCCCACATGGTTCAAAATTAACCAACTATTGGCAAAACCAATCTTCACTTCCGGTAAACTTAGATGAAAGAGGAAAGAACCTTATCTTTTATATGGCAGCATTGCCTCTTGCTGTAATGGTGCCTTGGAGAAAGGCACCATAACGTACTACACCGATCAATGATAGTTTTATCAAACCACCATGGAGATGAACAAAGGCAAACAAGTGCTGTCCTGATAGATACAGTAGAGAAAAAAGCATAGACATGAAGGGAGAGGAAGTGTGTTATTGCCATGGTCACCAGATGAATATAAAGAAAAAAAAGCCTAAAAAAAAGAAGTGAATGCAGCCACCACATCTAAGGAGTGGGAAACTGAATTATATAAAATTTTTGTTTTTAGGTTCAAATGCACTTTAACACAACAGTTTTTTTTGGTCCCCGTAAAATATTTTTTTTAGTTTTATTACCTCTTGATCCTGCCTGGGAAACCCATGGATTACAAACTGCCTAATGGTGAGTTTCAACCTGGCCTCCCTCCTATTCTGAATCCTAGACTTTTTGAAACATTTGTCTCCTCCTGGTCCTGCTCAGCTTACCCACTCGCTGCCCTCCTTTTTTTCCTTCTGTTTTGTTTCTTCTTCTTCCTTGCTTCTCATCCATCTCTTATCCCTAAGGGGTGGCATGGTATTCTCCTAGCCAACCCAACATTACTGGAAAAAACTATTTACATAACCGAAACTAGTCCTGTAACCAAAATAGGCCATTTGGATCTCTTATTTCTGAACACAGTTACAACAGTTAAAAGTGTGGATTGTTACAAATGTCCCTATAGAAACAAGAATTCCAAATCTTCAAAAATCCGAACAATATACGTCACCAACTGAGACTTGATTTTACTAATGACTTTGTGCATTTTAACTTGCACAACATTTTCAATACAAATTCAATACAAATACAAAATTTTCAATACAAATTGACTGAAAGGATTAAGTGATGCTTGCAGGATTTAAAGTGATATTAAAGCTTATTTGATCGGGTTAAGACATACATTGTATGGCACTACTTCTTTTATAAAAATGTCCCTTTGCTTCAGCTTATGCTGGTCTCCTTTGCACTGGCCCCACATTAGGTTTTTAGGGTGGTTCTTTTCCTTTGCAGGATACTATGGAGCCCTACTGGAACTACCCTTATGTGTACACTCCCAGAGAGGAGTACAGGGCACATAGGCAGGCAATGTCCTCACATCAACATTACATTTTTAAAAGCCGGGCACACATACGTGATGGCGCTATGCATGATGTTGATGGTGCTATGCATGATGAATGTAAACTTATGAATGGTACTATGCTTATTAGTGTGCACTCCATGGCAGGAAGTTTGGCAAAACAGTGCACAGAAACGGGGAGGATGAGGGATTGCAATATCAAAAAAAATCAGGCTTTAGTACTACTTTAAAACTTTTTACACATGCCCCATATAAGACCATCAGATGATTGTAGAAATAGGTGCACTGTGTTGTTATCAGTGGAATGCCTTTCTCAACTGATGGTAAAATCCAGTATTAAAATCCAGTATTAGATGTCTACACACGTAAGATATTTGTTGTCTGATGTCAGCTTATGCAGAGCAAGAGTACGACACCACCTTTGAACTTATTAGAATTCCACCCAAAAATTAAATAGGGTGAAGCTGTGTTCACTTTAATTATTCCACCTTGCACACAATTGGGTATTCCATGTTAACGTAGCAGCTGCTTGATTTTCCATCTAACATTAATTTACCATATAAAGTGCCTGGTCAGCCCGTCAAGAGAGGAATACATGGGCAGCACTACTGACTTTCTTTTAAAATTGCTAGTTGTCTGGCACTAGGTGGAATAAGATTCTGTCTGTGAACAGTGAATGTAAAAATTGTTAAAAGGAACTATAAAGATATCTTGAAATTCGGGTTAGCAAATTACAATGGCTGATGGTAAACTGATGTTCAATTTACATATAAAATATTATAAACAACACCAATCTTTTTTTTCCTCCTTTTGGCATCACCACTTCCATTAGAAAGCTTTGTTGTGCTGCACAGTTGTACATGGGAAAACATGTACAATGTGATTACACATACAGTATTTGTGTTGCTATTATTAAACACACTACCAAACAATGGAGAAGCAACTCTTTCACTTTTAATGACGTAGGTCATATTGTCAACATGCTGTTACATGATACGTCAGTATTCATGGAAAATAACTAGTCTGATTAACTATTGATATATTTTATGTTCCATTTGTAATGGCTGTCAACAACTTTCTATTGCAATTTGCAAATGAACAAAGCTAGTGGCAAAAGAGGATATCTCAATGTCAGTATTATATTTAGAAAAACATCCAAATATGTCAACTGTATGCATTCTGTACCTGCAGGAGTATAGTGAATTAGTTGTTAGAATTTATTTGTGAAAGGCTAAGTTCATGTTTCTGACCATGTTTCATGTTACATCTCCCCCCACCCTTACCTGAATCACAGGGTTTTCCCCCCCACAGGCTGTTACATTTGTTTGAAATCGGCGCGGCTATGTGGTCGGGCCCTTTGAAAGGATCTATGAAAGGAGAAACTACAAGTCCCATCAGCCACTGGGGCAGAGGGACTTGTAATTTCAATGGAATACAAGTGCAGTGACATCACCGCACTTGTACTCCATTGACACTTCCTCCTGCCCACCTCAGTACACTCTCCTGGAGCCAGAGCACTGCACCCGCAATCTATCGCCGTTGCAATACTCCTATGCAAAGAAATAATAAATGCACATTTTTTTCTTTTATGAAGAAGTGTGCATTTATTATTTTTAAGCAAAAGCTGAATTACTGTTTAACAGTTGCATTAGACTGTTACAATATTTGGGGGGCAGGGTATGGTGCACCTGTATCAATATCTTCTGTAAACAATATACATGTACAATAAAAAAATTACCTTTTGTAATATAGAGCTGTATATTATTATCATTATAATATTATACAGGATTTATATAGCGCCAACAGTTTGCGCAGCGGTTTAATAAACAGACATTTTTATTTCGTCATTTGCACCTTTGCTGGGCTCTTGTGTAAAAATAAACCAGTTTAATATTAATTGCATATACCAATTTCAGTTATGTTTGTAGCACAACATTCAATCAGATTGTGACTAAGCAGCACAGACAAGTTAGGTTTAATAGCACTTCTTTGAAACCCAAACTATACAAGCAAAGTAGGATTATCTCAGCTCAAAAACCAGGAGGCTGAAAAAGTAAAGAAATAGAGACTGTCCACTTAGCAGAGTGAATGTTTACTAAGCTTACTAAATATGGTGTCCACTTCAATCACTTTATTCCATGCAAATAAAAGTCCAGTATTCCTAAATTTCCCTTGCTTATGAATGAATATTGGTTAAGTGAATAGTCTCTACTCTTTTAGTAAACCAATCACAATGTATCATCAGCCCTTGTATGTTTTTAAAGAACTTGCATCCAATATGGCAGCTTAGCTGCCCCATATCTATTAAAGCTGAAGTGCAGGAAAACAGCTAATTGCACTAAATAAATACATATAGTGGAGTTGCTTTACCTTCCAAAAGATTTGTATTTCCATTCATCTAGTCCTGACATTTGGACAACCCTGCCAGGTGGACAACACCACTTACAGTTAAACAGTAACTAAACTGAAGTGTGCTGGTTGTACACAGAAAACAACATCAAAAATCTAGGGGAAATGGGAAGATTTTTTTTTGTGTGTGGAAAAGAGTTTGCATGTCCCTTTTATTTTCATAGTTTAGTTCCCCTAATAGGAATACAGAGGTGCCGTCTCTCCAGTCAACAGCCTGCCACTGGATGGTGAAAGAGCAGAAGGAGATTGATGAGGCCGAGGTTGGCCCTCTGCTCTCTCCGTTTATTAGCATATTCCTTGTCAATAAATCTGCATGTAGCATACCTGATTGGTCCCCAGGTTTGCCCCTTTCTCTCCCAGTCTGATTGCTGCTGTATGTTTGCAAGAGACACGGCTATGTGTCCATTAAGTCCAATTCAGGTGCTTAGACTAATCGCATTTTTTCTTTGTTTTTCTTGTTACTGGTACAATCTGTTTTTCTTTTGGTATACTAGTATTTTATTTGTACTACAAAATGTAAAAAAATATATAAAAAAAGATCATGTATTAAAAATGTGGTGATTTATTAATAAATACATAGCTGTTGTGTATTTTACTTCTGCCTGGAGTTAATATTTAACCTTTAATAGGCTATTATAAATAATACAACTGAACTGCATGCATCAAGCAATAAAACTGATAAGTAGTAAATCAACTATGATATAAGATCATTTATACGATTAAAGGAGAACTATGGGGTCAGTGTTTTTCCCCATAGTTCTCCAGATTCATCAGTCAAAATGTTTGATTCCGATCATTAAAAAACTTAGGGCTTTAGACTGCCAACACAAAACTTAAGAAGAAACAGCCTTAAAGAGAATAATACAATTGACGCTTGCAGCTGCCTCTTGGGTTTGGAATATTTAGTTATTAGTGGACAGCTGCACTTCTACATGACTTGGCAATCTTCGGGCCAGTCTACCAACTGCTTCAATAATATTTATCTTAGAGGATAATTTTAAACATAACAAATCTACATGAAACATAACTTATTATAAGCTATCACTTCTAAAGATATGATC